TCATTGTTGTTTGGCGGGCCCGGGCTGGATTCGAACCCGCCACCTTAGGTGTATGTGGCTGGCGCCTTAGCCGCTTGAGCCATAGGCGCCGAGACTTTTCTTTTTTTTTTGAGACAGAGTTTCACTTTGTCACTCTTGGTAGAGTGTCGTGGTGTCACAGCTCACAGCAATCTCCAACTCCTGGGCTTAGGCGATTCTCTTGTCTCAGCCTCCCAAGTAGCTGGGACTACAGGCACCCACCACAATGCCCCACTAAGGTTTTTGTTTTTCATTTGTAGTTTTTGCCATCATACATAGCCTGAAGATTTGATATACTATCTAGAGTGGGATTTGAACCCACGTCTGTGGGACCCCAAAACCTATCTGCACAACTGCAACCCTTTGCCTCCACAGGGGTTCAGTGTCAGGCCCCGGTAACATTTGTGAAGGCAAAGGGTAGGGGAGCTGAAGGGGCCACACCTACTTGCCTGCTTGGCCCCCTTAGCGGTTGGGTGGTTTGTCCTCTTCTGCCCGGGGAAAGAAAGACAAGGAAAAAGGACACTAGCCTAGAGCTTCATCCAGTGGAAAGCGGCACCTCACCCTGGATGTGAGCTGAGGCTGGAGTAGCCACAGGAGGACATTCCTGCCCTGAGTCCTCAGAATGGCTTTCAGTCTTCTCTGCATCAGGCATCAGCCAAAGGGTCCTGGGAAACCAGTTGGGGCTGCCGCATCAAGGTAGAGAAAGGGAAATGAGTAGGTGACCTGAAGCATCAGATTAACTGAGCTCAGGATATCTCCTTACACCAAGGTAGATATAGGTAGAGAGAATGACTCTCCCTCTGAGGCTTGTCTAAATACTATTCCCACAAAAGGAATTCCCCAAAATAGGGAGAGAAGTTGTTAGACAGCCAAGAAAATGGCAAATGTTTCTATACTCACTATGTCCTTATTCTACTACTCTTCAAAAAACAGTAGCACCAGCCAGGCTCAGTGGCTCACACTTGTAATCCCAACACTCTGGGAAGCTGAGGCAGGTGGATTGCTTGAGCTCATGAGTTTGAGACCAGCCTGAGCCAGAGGAAGACCCCCGTCTTTGAAAATATCTGGGTGTTGTGAAAGGGACCTGTAGTCCCAGCTACTCGGGAGGCTGAAACAAGAGGAGGATTATTTGAGCCCACAAGTTTGAGGTTGCTGTGAGCTATGATGCCACAGCATTCTACCCAGGGTGACAAAGTGAGACTCTGTCTCAAAAAGACAAAAAATATAGCTCGGTGCCTGTGGCTTAAGGGGCTAAGGCGCCAGCCACATGCACCTGAGCTGGCAGATTCAAATCCAGCCTGGGCCTGCCAAACAACAATGATGGCTGTAACAAAAAATAGCCAAGCAATGTGGCGGGCACCTGTAGTCTCAGCTACTTTGGGAGGTGGAGGCAAGAGAATCGCTTCAGCCCAGAAGTTGGAGGTTGTGGTGAGCTGTGATGCCATAGCACTCTGCCCAGGGCAACAGCTTGAGGCTGTCTCAAAAAAAAAAAAAAAAAAAAAGGCTCAGTGCCAATAGCACAGTGGTTACAGTGCCAGCCACATACACCAAGGGTGGCAGGTTTGAACCCAGCCTGGGCCAACTAAACAATGGCAACCAAAAATAACCAGGCGTTGTGGCGGGCGCCTATAGTCCCAGCTACTTGGGAGGCTGAGGCAAGAGAATCACTTAAGCCCAAGAGTTGGAGGTTGCTGTGAGCTGTGATGCCACTGCACTCTACCGAGGGCAACATAATGAGACTGTCTCAAAAAAACAAACTAACAAAAAAACAGCAGCAACAATTCACGTAGGCTACCTATTATACTGCATCTATCTCTCTCTTTCCAAAGCCAGACAACTCAAAGACTTGTTAATTATCACATCCATTCCCAAGTCCAGGATTTCTGGATGATGTCCATCCTCCTGCAATTCCCTT